CCTCCCAGCCCAAATAATCGCGGCGGAGCCAATCGAGTCCCCCATCCAGTGTGGATGTTTGGGGACTCTGTGCGGCTCCGCCACGACTGCCAACCCGGCACCCCGCTCGGCCAGGCATTGAAACAGGACATCCTGCGCTCTGGCCGAGCAGTTGAGGTTGACTTGTATTATCGGGCCCGTGGACTCCATTACTCAGCCGTGTCCATCGCCGTCACGGCCGCGGATGCGGTGACGTCTGGGACTTTAGAGGCCCCATCCGCCCCCGCAGGCGCGACGGTAGCATCAGGCGATGCTGCCTTTTCGTTACTGCCCACGGTGGTCGCTGCCTTGGCCATCGTGGTTTCCTTCCCTTTATTATTAAATCTGGCAGACGGCCTTTGGCCGCCTCCCTTGCCTCGCCTCGCACTGGCAGGACATGCACGGCTGCCGAGGGGGTGACCAGACGGCTTGCCCGCGCCCGCACAAAGCGGACAATTGATCGTGGCCGTACAGGCTGCCACCTTATGGTCCCGACTGCCGCATCTATAACAGCAGTCGGACCTATCCTCGGCAGCAGTGCACCGCTGACTGGTGTGGCCAACACCAAGGCAACGGTAACACTGCAGAGGCCGGGCACTCAGGGCCTCCACGGCTGCCTGGGTCCAGCCGACAGTTATCCGGCCCGCGACAGCAACCTTGCCAGCGGCCGCGGCAGGACATCGGACCCAGAGGGTGCCCAATCCCGAGGGAAAAGACCGGATTTCGCCGGTATGAATGTCCGCCTCGTTACACCCGCCCACGCGGGTAATATCCGCAGCGACCTCCGCCGGCGTGGTCGAATCGACCAGGCTGCGCACCCTAAGGTCGACTTTTTTGACCGGGCGCGCGACTTTTACGCCGGTTCCCGCCTGCGCTTCCGCAACTTTTGTGGCGAGGACGGTGGCCTTGGCGGCCCCATCGGTGCCAGGGACCTCCAAAATTAACCCCCCAGTCACCGCCCTTCGCGGCCTCAGCGAGGCGATGCCAATTTCTGCCAGGTCCACCTTGGACCTGGCAGTGGCCATCGCCTGCGCGTAAGTAATGTCCACGCCAGACGGAACCGTTATGGTAACCGCTGCTGTGCGTGGCGGTCGAGGAGGCAGGGGTGTCTTCCTGGGGGCCG